GGTTTATTGGATGTAAATAGATGGTATCAAGACTTGAGTTGCTTTCACCACCTGGTGTTACCTTATCAATAACAACCATTAAAACATGCCTCCTCATACATATCTACAGTCCAAAGTGGACATAACTGTCTTAATCTCTTTAACAAAGTAGGGCATTTAAGTCAGTAGCATAAATTTGATAAGATTAATTAACACTTAACAGAGATTTTAATGAAATTCTGACCTTGACACCTACAAGTTTTGATATCTAGAAAGTATTTGTTCAGTTGTCTTGTCTCATTTTCCACACTAATCAAACAATATAGATATTTTTAAAGAACTGGTAAAAAAGCTATTTTATATTAATAAATTATTTTAGGCATCTATAATAATATTGATAGTAAGTGCACTTGTGATCTTTTATTAGTATGATAAAAGCACAATATTATAAGAACAAAAGTTCTACATTTGATATTAAAATGGCTTGACCTGTTTCATCTGGTTCCTATGATATTTATGTTATATGTGTTGATTTTTTTTGTGGCGTGCCAATCAGTCATTGTTCAAAATTTTACTTTCATGTTAAAGCCAATATAGTCGATGGTGTGTTTTTTTGTGACACAGCGAGCTAAAATACAAAAGTTATTACAAAGCAACCTCTTTTGAATTGAAACAGAAATGTTAAATTATATACAGTTTGCACCATTAAATGCAATGCAAGAGCTAAATCTGCATATTGCAGGTCTTTATTGGGCCTGAAATGTTATCTAAATTATTAATTAGACATTAATTAACTTATCCAGACCATAATCAACTCTCGATGGCATCGTTAGCCTGCAATGTTTATTGGATTAGGTTCCGATTTGCTGTTCGACTTCCATTCATGATTTTATCATGAAATGGATAATCGAGACTATGATTTTTATTGTACCGACTTTAGTAATGATGGTTGAGGCTAGGTCGAAAATTCAATCGCTAAAACCTCAGTTCAGAGTGGATCAATTTGACTGAAATTTTCAGCAAATTCCCTTTACATTATCTAGTTTTTAACTATTATAGTGAGAACTGTCAGCTCTTTATCTAATCTCTCATAATGTATCTTTAATAAAAAGAAGATTAACACTTTTAAGTTATAATGTATCTTATTCTTGCAATAGGAACAAATTAAGCATGTATTTCTTCTAAGTTAATTAGGTAATCTATTGCATGACCAATGCTCAGAACAGAGATGGTTTTTAAATTGCACTGATTTAGCAACAAATATCTGATTATTTTGTCTGCTCAAATCTGCATTATAGTTACAAGAATTCAGGAACCAACTAGATAACTACAAGCAATGGTACATAGGGATCTGGGAAACATTTCTCCTCTCGCAATCCCAGATTTCTTCAATTTCTCCCTGATTTTAAATTGTCATCTAGTAATTTGTCACCATTATACTACAAGAATAATTATTGAAACAGTGTATGAAACAAACTTGTGTTATAAACTGCAATCAAATGAACTATCCGAGAAAATAATGCAACAGTTATCAAAAGTCACCCTAGTATATAAACTTGACTTAGCATGTCAAACCTCAATAGCTGGAATTAAGTCTGAAGCAGCAAAATCTTGTGAGCTGTTAATTCATAATCGCCCTTATATTGTGTGTTGGTATTTCATTTGATATACATAGTGTACACTATCCTTTCCCAGTTTGGAGTCACTCCCATGACTAAAATTCCTCCTAAATTCCTCCCCTGGCTAACATTCATCTACTTTGGTTGAGAATCATTGTATTAAGGTGATTACCCCTGTTAACTACACAGACAGTGGGCCGCCAGTGAGTCTAACCTTGTTATAATCTGATTGATGTTTAATTTACTTTTTGCAGGTGTTGCATAAGACTTAATTTGCATATATATATATATATATATATTTGTAATGCAACTGCTATATTTAACCAGTATTTTGATTAAGTCCTGGAATGCTTCAGCTTCTTACCATCTTTATTGAACAATCCAAATTTTTCACACTTTTATCAAGAAATAGTCTGAAATGTTATGGTATGAAATTAAATACTGGTAATCTAGTTATAATTCTGTTGACTAATGGTTATTATTTAAAATTAAATTGTAATTAAATGTTTGTGCTATTGCAAATTAACACTTGTTTGCTTTTACCGTTTTAATAGGACAGTTTTTTTTTTATCATTGTTTATCTTTTGGGTTAGGCTTTTTCTATCAGTATCTTTTTTTTTTAAATCATAAGGGCAAGAGCATAAAAAATCAAATTTTTTTTCTTCAAAATATCTGAAATAGATCTCATTCTGTCTTCCATAGATATGATGTTGGTGGCACAGATCCAACCTTGCTTAATCACGGTTGTAAATTTAATTTGCAGTATCAAATAATATTTTAATGTTTTGTTGAAGTCTTTATGAATTAATCATTTTAAAAGCTAATTATCTGTAGTTGGACATCTACTGTTCAGGTTCCAATATTGATATTTAATTAGTCTACGCTTACAGTTGAGAACTTCTGTATCCTGTGAGAATTTTACATGTTCAGTGCTTGAAACAAAAACAGAGCTATACTCTTCCTTTTCTAGGTTTGCGCAAATCAAATTTTGGAGATTTTTATATTCAGTGACTTGACTATATTAGAATAGGTATTCTCAATTCATCATTTGTCATAAAAAGTTACAGCATGGACTGTAATTGCTTAGAGCACGTTCACAGCAAGGCATTGTGGTACAATTGTACTATATGTGTAACAAAGTACTCTATACCTTTCATCAAATTGAACGATCATTTAGGTGCATATAACTTATTGACAAGCTGCTGTTGATAATATATTATATTGATTTTTCAAATCTGTATATACTTCTGTTTAGTCACATTCTAATTAAACATGTAATTAATCCCATATGTCATTTACAAACTACATATGATGATCTGTGCACACGCTCCGCATTGCTTCAAAGGAGAATGCACTGGTTAGTTAGCATACCAGGGCGAGATAAGAGACAATTGCATGTATGATAATGAGTCTTATCTACAAATGTATTGTCCGAGGGTATATAACAAGGAGCTTGCTAACAGTCAGGGAGACGAGCAGAGTGGAGGAGAGATACAGATGAGAGAAAAGCAGAGAGTGACGGATGGACTCACCCGAGTTCAGTCGTTGCCTTGGCAGAGGGGCGGAATGGTGGATTTAATACTATTCAAAAAAAGTAGGGGATATTTGATTTTGGGGGCATAATACTAAAATATGCAAATGACTACGAAAAAAGTCACTATAGAACCTAACAGAAGAAACATTTCCAGTTACATGTGACGCCCAAACGCACCAATAGCTACCGCATGGAATGCAGGTGATGCTTGGGATCATCATGGGGGTCCAACCCAAGATTTGCACGACTCTGACTTTGTTTAATTGTTTTAGTGACCAGAAAACAAATTTTGATATGCGTCGGCTTACCAAAAATGAAAGGTTACGTGCCCTTGGCATGCTACAGATCGGCACAACACAGGTGGTTGTGGCGCGGACGATGAATGTTTCTCAGTCTGTCATAAGCAGGCTATGGTCCAGATACCGTGATACACAATCTGTACAGGACAGACCACGCTCAGGTCGACCAAGGGCGACAACTCAAGCCCAGGATCGATTTATCCGTACCTTGGCCTTGAGAAATCGTGTCATCACAGCAAATCAGATCAGCGCTCGTCTTCAAACAGACACTGGTGTGAGAGTGAGTGGCCAGACGATTCGGAATCGACTGCATAGGGGTCACCTTCGCGCCCGACGTCCTCGCGTGATCCCTTGTTTGAGAGATCATCACATTCAGGCAAGACGTCGTTGGTGTAGGGATCGTCAACACTGGGATAATCGACGCTGGAGCAATGTGATGTTTTCAGATGAGTCAAGGTTCACTGTTGATTTTTTGGACAGACGTAGGAGGGTGTGGCGTCGTTGAAACGAACGCTTCCAAGACGTTAACGTCATCAGACATGATCGATTTGGGGGTGGTTCTGTTATGGTGTGGGGAGGCATCACTGTTGCTGGAAGAACGGCTTTACATGTTGTTGCAGGGCGTGTTACAGGCCAGTACTACCGGGACAACATCTTGGCAGTCCATGTTGTGCCGTTCGCACGACGTCATGGCCGCCGTTTCATCTTCGAGGATGACAACGCAAGATGTCACAGGGCCAGGATCGTTACAGGTTACCTCCAACAACAGAACATCACCACATTACCTTGGCCAGCACTGAGTCCCGACCTCAACAACGTCCTGCCAATGTCCAAGAACTTGCTGCTGCGTTGCAACAGGAATGGGACAATCTGGACCAAAATGACCTTAGACGTCTCATTAGGAGTATGCCACGTCGGATCAATGCTTGTTTGGCAAACAGAGGAGGATTTACCCGTTACTGACTTGGTTGTGATGCTGTGGTAACTTTGCTGTTTGACCCCGGGTATCATTTTACCCTTATAATGGTCAGTCTGTGCCTTACTTAGTCTAACGATCATTTGGAATAAATCGATGAATGTGAACTTCATTTCATTTTGTCATTTGTTTCTTCGTCAGTTTCATTAGGTGACTTTAATAACACTTAAAAATCAAATATCCCCTACTTTTTTTGAATAGTATAGCTATGTACCGTCCTGATATGTCCCTGTCATAGTCTATTTCCCGATGTAGTTTAGTTCATGTTGTATCTATGTAACTGTTTGATATTCTGTTTGATAATCATATATTTACTGAACTGATCTCTGTTATCACTAAGATACATATGGACCATGAACCACAGCTTTTTGAGAGTGGGGTTTCTTGTTTCTTTTCCAATTTAGGAGGGCTTCTTTTCTGCCTTTTAGTTTTATTGCATTTTTGGTTAGCATGGTCTGTATGAGTGCATTGTATTTTAATTACCGGTAACAGCATTCACATTTTAAAGGATTGTACCGTTTGTTTTATTCTGAAAATATTTAAATCCTTTGATATTGAATAAATTTTAATCTCTAGTTACTGTATACTTTCAGGTTGCCCACTTCCGCCAGTTGTATACTAAAATCATCAGTGATAAACATGATGACATCATGGCTAAATTTGGTTCTGTATTAGCTCAAGGAATAATTGATGCTGGTAAGTATACAACATGTGTCGTGCAGTTAAATTTATTGGTGATATTCCAAACACTACAGAAAAATCACTGTGGCAGTGTACGTTGTGCTTTGTATTTATAAGTACCTAGCATTAAACAATTCTGCTACACACATTTATGATCCGTGGAAGCTTAACTGTTCCCATGATTGTCTTATTATTAAATAAACACCAATACTATAAATACCACATGCAGGGTTCAGGTTGACAGTGTTGATGTGACCAAACAACTACAGATTATTCTGTGGATTTGGTTTAGCTACTTTAAAAAAGTACCAGTTATCAGTGGGCTAGCTTGACTTTGTCATCTGAGCGCAAGTGGATCAAATATACCAGTTTAAAAGCCCTAGCTTCCTGATTTACTAGGGGGGTTAGATGGCTGAAAGGTTAGTGTGTGCACATTGTATCACAACGTCTGTCATTGAATCATCTGGTGTGGTTTTGATTCCCCGGTTGTACGTGACAAGCATGTCGCCCGTCCAATCTTGTGGATTTTCTCTAAATCCTCCGGTTTGCTCCCACTGCTTACACGGAAGCGAATCATTAAATAAAATTGAACCATATGTTAGTCTCGAAATGACCTAGTTTGTGTCAAGTGGACTCTCTCTCTGGCTCCTGGTTTATCTTGCAGTCTAAATGGATTGGCTTATAATTGCTAGCTTTATCTATATAGATAAGGATATGTGTATTTTACTACTTTTTTGCGGAAATTAACTAAAATTACCTAACCACTGAAAATGGTTCTCAGAACAGTTTTTTAAGCTGGTTTCGCTAATTCTGTGTGAATGCTGTACACTCCTGGCTTACAGATGCTTACTTAAATACAGATATCTGAACAACAGCATATGACACGAATAAAGACAGCTGATGAGCTATAGATAAGTCAAGGGATTAAAAAATTTACCTTTATCCAAGGTGACATTTTCACCAAGAATGTTATTGTGAACTTTGCTTTAATTGGAATAAAGGAGGGCTGCATCCATGAATGTATGTATTATTTATACCTATCAATTCTTGAAAGAACCATTAAAAGTCATGACTCAGTACATTCCTGACACTTGCCCTCAATTTCCAAGGAAATGTTTTCAAGGAATCTGTCAAGAATTGATGGCAAACTGTAGAAATCCCATACAGATCCTGTCACATATTCCAATATGTTCATCTAGTTTCTAAGTGAACTGGGTAACTTCTAATGCATAACTTGTAAATTGTTAGTTGTTATGCAGAAGAACCATTGATTTTAATTATCAAGGGAATTTTGTCTTATTCTTTAAAAATGGGAAAAAAAGTGAATGTGGCTGTTTTCAAGAAAGGGACAAAATATAGCTTTTCTACTTTGGATTAACAGAAGGCTTACAAATTAATACAAACATAATTTTACCTACCCGGTATTGTTTTTGTTTAAAAACTCAATAGTCTGGATTTCATACCATGTCCACAGGTATCACCCATGCTTCATTCAAGTATTATTTTAATTACTGTTAATTTATAGATAAAAGGTTGACAAAGGGCATTTAATTTTATATATTTGTGCCATAAACATTCCATTTCCTAAACCAAAGAGGGGATTTTTCCAGCCCAAAAGTTATGAGATTTGTAATCTTGTTCTCTATGGAAGGGGCTATACTATATACCGGAAAACACCATGTTATAATGAATACCGGAAAAACATTAAATACCTGAAAAAACCCTAAATACCAGAAAGCACCCTAAATAGGTAACTCGAAGCCTGGTCCTCTGAAAAACACCAGAAAAACCTAACCCTAACCCTAACCCACCGCTGGTCCTCTAGAAAACACCGGGAAAACCTAACCCTTACTCCCCGCAAACAGAGGACCAGGCTCTGGGTTAGCTATTTAGGGTGTTTTCCGGTGTTTAGTGTTTTCCAGTATTTAGTATAACACAGTGTTTTCCGATAGTTTTTCGGTGTTTTTCGGTGTATAGTATTGCCGTATGGAAGTGAGAAATAAAAAAAGATAAACTGTTTTATTAAATGTCTGATTCTAATATAGCTTTTCATATTTCTTTTTATTTTAGAGGATTTACAATTAATTATTATAAATTATTTTCTGTCTTTCCATAGAAGTTAGTTGTCCATTTACTGTGCAAACAGCTATTTCTAGATATTTATTAAGAAAAGGTTTTGATAAAGAAAAAATGGTTCCTAAAAAAGCTCCTGTTTTGGATGTTCTTGTTACTACAAATGGGTTTAATTTATTATTAAATGTTGTTCAGCCCCCTTTCCAATATATTTCTTCTGTTGACTTCCAAGAATTTTTTTTATGTAAATCCAATTTCTTCATTAATGGGTTATTCCAACACAAGAATTGACTGGCCTAAAGCAGTTTGACCATTTCCTCACAAATTGTCCTAGTAATAGAAGGTCTGTGGGCAGGACCTTATTACATCTTGACTGGTTCTATTAACAAGAAGAAAGAAGATGGCCTGTCTCAATGTGATAAATCTAGTTGTAGCTGCCATTAGGTGTTTGCTGAAGAAATCTGATTTACCTTGGTGATGAAACTGAATGATTGCTTCAGAAGAAGACAAAGAGAAGCATCTTGTTTGAGATGGTCTTGTGTTACCGACTTGCAGTCTCCTCTTTTAGTCATTCGACAAATTTGTACAAATTTCAATATCTAGTTGCAAGCGCTCAAGTATCAACAATGTGTGAGGTTTTCTTTGATAGCATTTATCTTATATGGTTCACTTTTTCTGCATTTTTTTGTATTAAAAAGATTAATGAATTTAGTTAGTTTTGATATATTGCACTTTCTGTTGTATTACATAAATATTCAAATTAATTGGGTTTTTTTTTTTCTTTTTTTATTTTGAAAAAGACAAGACATCTTTGATTTAGGTGAAACATGAAAACATTCTTTATTGAAATAGGATGACTGGTTTCAAAATGTCTTTCAACCTAAAATGTAAAATCAATAAGATCCTGCTCCTTTTGGGGTTGTGTAGTTGAAGCTGGAATCTGAACAAAAAACATTAATTATGAAATCAAGAGCATGAACTGCATTATTTATTGTCCTGCATAGCCCTCTTCGTTAGTGCTGAAAAGTAAGACGTTAAAACCCAGTTTATTTCGTCCATTATATTTATAGATGTTTATAATAGCAGGCTATTTTTTCCATTTACTTGCTGACAGTACGATTTGTAGCTTGTGTGAGATGATCGATTCAATATGTCAAATTTTCTCTTACTAAGTAGACTTTACAAAAGCTGGCATTTTCAAAGTTGCCCACTTCTAAAATGAAATATATTATTAAAAGTAAAATGTAAAGAATAACAGATTTGAAACAAATGGGATGTCACCAAATTGATCACAAAACTGTTCACATTTTTGACAAATATGCTTACTAAATATTATATTTTTACATAATAAATGATTTTTATACACCCACATTGAATTGTGATCTAAGTTATATTGTATAATCTCTCCCCGTTCGTTACAATTTGTTGCACATTGTATATACTCAGTATGAATGCTAGCGGTTTGCTACTTTGGCAATGGCGATTTTACTTCATCTGTGGCAATAATTATTGTTAAAAAGTCGCCACTTTGGGGAAAAGGCCTATGTGCTCCTGTTGAATCTCTGTTTCTCCTTCGTGCGCTTGCCTATTTAACACAAAAAAAAAACAACCAAGAAACCAATTAAAAACTGCTAAAATGATGTTATATGTATAAGAAAGCATATAGACAGGCGCTATTGTACTGTGACCATTAGTAATCATTTTGTTCATAGGCTGAAATTATTATATGTCATTATTAATGTATTGTCCAATCATGTCTCACTGAATTTCGCAAGGTTTACAAAATGGCTAGACATTCTTCAATACTTTTTGCTTCAGCAACTAAACTATCACTCCTAATTGGGTCATTCCATTAATGAGCGGTCTAATGTGTGACATATGTACTAAAATTTTAAGTAATCTCAATCACTGATAAAAGTATACCAATAATAGGAGTAATGTATGCCATTTGAGTGACAGTTGGTGGTTTTCCACTGTCTTGTTCCAAAGAAAAGATATGAACATTTTTATGCGCCAACATTTTCATGTGGATGTATATTGTTGTTGCCCCTGTCTGTCAACAATTTGTTTGTGGGGACTACACAGGTCACAAATTTTATCTGATTTTGATGAAACTCATAATATAGGGCTATCTCCCAAAGATCTAGGTTCCTTTCGATATTAGCATGTATCAGACTATAACTTCATGGATTATGGCCCCTGATTCCGTGAAAAAATTACGTTTTTACTTTGTAGACACTCAAGAAGTCACAATTTTTATTTGATTTTCATAAAACTTAAAATATATGTTTATTACCCAAAGATCTCTATTCCTTTCGATATTTGTGCATATCGGACTGTAACTTCTTGGTTTATGACACCTGATTGTTTGAAAAATCACGTATTTAGCTTCTGGACCCTCTAGAGGCTACAATTTTTATCCGATTTAAAAAAAACGTTCTATTATGTCACCGTTACACCATAATGAAGGTTTAGTTCAAATTTTGTGATAATCGGACCAAAACTGTCGGACAAAATGGCCGCCCCTCATACGTAAATAGTGCAAATATATGGTATATCAAAGTTGTGGACCCTCCAGATTTTGATGAAACTTTAAATTTATGTTTATATTACAAAGATCTTGGTTCCTTTCATTTCAATAATTGCGCATATCCGAACATAACTGCCTGGATTATGGCCCCCAGATTGTTAGAAAAATCGCATTTTTAGCTTTTTGATCCACTAGAAGTCACAATTTGTATTAAATTTTTAAAAAACGTTTAAATATATAACCGTTATACTTAGACATCAGTGAATGGTGAGTTCGAATTTTGTAAAAATCTGACCCAAACTGCCAGACAAAATGGCCGCTCCTTGTACGCTAATAGTGTGAAAGTATGTAATAACAAGGTTGTGGACCCTCTGTAAATCACAATTTATACTATTCAAAAAAAGTAGGGGAT